CTAAACAATTTAGCGTTAACATCTGTGACGTAGGATGATGCTTTCAGCCTCATTTTACAGGTAAATGACTTAAGGTCAGTATGATCAGTGCTCAGGGCACATAAAGAGTTGATGGCAGAGTTGGCACTTGAACTAATTTCTCCAAATGCTTTCCTAGTGCCTTTCCACTGGGGGACTCTCCATGGCTGCACAGGCATCTGCGACTGATACTCTCCAGTTTGCAATGTCTGTCCAGTCAGTAGTGATTAATCATTAAACTGTTTTTCAGCTAGAATTACCTTGTATTCATTTGGTCTGAATGACTGACTTCCTGATCGCTAAGTAATTTGGTAACTGCAATTATCTGTATAAACTGACCTGCATCTCCTGGTTTTCAGGGCTGAGAGGTGATGTGGTTAGTCCTGGCAATGTCGAGTTTGGTACCTGCCAAAATGGGCAGATGCCTGCCTCCATGGACTGAACTCTTATTGCTGCTGCTCCTCATGTGGGGACAGAGAGAAAAAGGGCTCTTCCTCACTCTTCATGGTAGGAGACCACCCATTGCTGTGTTAGCAGCCAGGAAAACACAGGAGTGGGATGGGAGAGTGCTATAAGGAAGGAAAGAGGGTTGTGGAGGAGGTGGGACAACATGGTGGTGACTCCAAGGAAATGGTGGTGGGGTCTGGGAGGGGTTCGTCTTCCGTTCTCATCACTTCTTGGGAAGCTGTCTGCATGGGGACAATCACTGGAGGCTTTCTGAATCAATACGGCATTTAGCATCTTTTTTTTATAGGTCCTTCCAGTCACCAGGTGAAATTCTGAAGTTCCCCATTCAATGATTATCCATTTCTTCTCAAAGTTTTATCTCCTTCCGTTTTTCACATCACCACAGGTGCCAATGAAAGGCATGGGACGCTAAATTATATATATTTGCTATGACAGAGCTTGTGCCAGCACTGAGCACTGACAATGCACATTACAGTTCAGCTCATGTATTTCTGATGGCACATTTTACAGTGCTATATATAAAGGTGTTATGGCATCTATTATTCACTGCCAATACAGTTCAAGTTAAAATAGGTTTTATATAACAGTTCAAAGCAATATTTTAAGAAATAACACTTGTGTCAAGGCTGCTCTGTCCTACCAGATTTTGACATTTCCAAGCAATAAAGATCTTTATCCAAAATGTAAGGTTTTGGCGAGACTTCTCCCTTGCAGACTTCTCTATTTTTAATCTGCAAGCAATAGCAAAAGAAGCACATTTAAATAAAATGAACAGCCAGCTGAACTTTTGACATGGCTGTTATCTTTCTAGGTGGAAACTGTGAACACTGAAAAGTGCCTCAAGGGATGTTCATGACAGAGAACAATGTACCATTAACCCCAACCTCCGAAGAGATTCTGGAGATGTGGAAAACACACAAGTGGGCAAGAGTCATTGGAACATTAAGAAGATGTCTATTATGGGCACAATTTTATATCTGTTTTTCAGGACACAAGATGGGAAGAGAATTTATTTCCTCATTTCTTTAGCAATGAAAAAAGGTTTTATATCTGTTCTTGCAAAAAGGGCAAACTGAATGTCTTTAAAAAAAAAAAAAAAAGGCCCATTACTGGTACTAACACCTTTATCTTCTCCAACGTTGTGTGCTAATCAGTATGGCCAAGAAGACATGATGAACAAGCAATGCCCTGTGATCTCTTCTGTGCTGCTTAAGATCTACATGTTTCTGGTGCGAGGTATGCAGAAACGTAAAAATCCCAGCAAGACCAATCTACTTGCATGAGACATGTTTTGCACAGCTCTGTTCTTCATTCTGGTCCCCAAAGAGCAAAGGAGAACAAATGCTATACATCAATTTGGCAATAAATTTAGTTTATTAGCTGTGTTTGACAGTTAGGAATAATGTTTCCTTTTAACCTTACTGGTTTTGAAAACATATTGGAAAAAAGTTGTAAGGGTGACCATGAGCTCAGTAAGTCCCTTCTCTATACACCCACAACTTCTAATGAAATCAGGGAAGTTTTAATGTGCAAGATGAGTCCTTTCACAAGAAATACATTTGTGTGGGTCAACAAACAGAAAAACAAAACCCAGTGAAAATGATTTAAGAGCACCATCTGCTTATTCAAATACAGCTGGGAAGAAGTACAACACAATCCAAAAAAACATTTCATTTTCATTACATTTCTTTCAAAAAAAGATGTTAAATAAAATACTATTGGTCTTAAATGTTTTCCTCCTGAGGAGAAATGTTTAAGCTACATTTGAAATAATGCCTGTGGAATGCAATCTTCCTTATAGGATGAATATGAATCTTGGATAGCAAAGCAAAATGTATGCAGTTATGATGGAGATGATAGGTAAAAAAAACAGGTAAAAAGAAAGTGTACACATTCTTAAGAAGCAGAAGGCTCAAAAACATTAAGAGCTTAAATTGAATAAGCTATTAACTACCTAAGTTAAGTTATTCAGAGGTAAATTCATATTCCACAGAAAGCTATACAGGCTCTACCAAATCAATAGATACACAACCTGCCCAATATATGATGTTGCATTTATTTAGAGGTTATGTAGGGCTGGGACTGGATTCACTTAACTCACCCGAAGTACCCCACCATGGTCACGTGGTCCAATGCAGCCCCATGCAGAGATATCAGCTTGTGGCACAGAAATGGTATTTAACCAGCAAAATAAGGACTTCTCTAAGGAGACATGACTGCACCTCTTCCTTTTCCAAAGTTGGTGTACTTGAGGCTGGCTTGGGGTTTTTCATTCTCCACTGCCTGATGAGCAAACACCAAATGTGTTGGTGTGGTTTGTTTTTTTTTTTTTTTCTGGGAAGGACAGAGGGCAACATAAAGATGGAAAGAAAAACCCAGTGACTGTATTTCAAACAAAAGGATCACAACAATATCCTTTGTGTCCACACTACCATTTCAGAAATACCTTGGCATCCATCCTTCTTGAACATCAAAGTGCAGGAACATCCCAAAACATGTATTTTCATGGGGTCAATTTAGATTAGATGTTAGAAAGAAATTCTTTACTGTGAGAGTAGTGAGGCACTGGAACAGGGTGCCCAGAGAAGTTGTGGATGCCCCTGGATCCCTGGCAGTGTTCAAGGCCAGGTTGGATGGGGCTTTGGGCAACGTGGTCTAGTTGAGGGTGTCCCTGCCCATGGCAGCGGGGTTGGAACTAGATGATCTTTGAGTTCCCTTCCAGCCCAAACCATTCTGTGATTCTATGATTCTATGATTCTATGATTCTTGCCACAAAGTTCCCTAGAGTTTTTGCTAGTGGATGCAAAGAGATTCCTCAAGTATGAAAGGATAATTCACACCCAAGGTAACTCAGTGGAGAATTTTCTTTAATAATTTTGTCCCTAGTAATACACACAAGTCCACAAAGTTCAATCATCTCTGTTCAGTAAACCATATCAGAAATTAGACATACAGTAACCTTGACCCACTGCTATAAAACTATCAAAATTTCTTCTTTATAGTGTTGAATCGTATGTGGGTTATCACTGTGTGCAAACAGAGGTCAATGTCCCAAAGCACCAGCCTACAGCAGGAACGTTTGTCCCCTTTTTGCACTTTTAACTCAATCACAATTCCTGTTATACCGCAACCAAAATCTATTCTGATAAAATTAGCTCAATCCAATTAAGAGACAAAGTATAGTCCTTAATTAAATGTTCTGATTATTCTGAAGCCCTCTTTTTTTTTTTTTTTTGGTTCATCTTAAGTTTAGGCCTGTGGAAGCATACAAATTAGAAAGATTTAAAATGTTCTGGCTTTACTCATTTATTGCTTAAATTTGAGTAACAAGAGTTTCCCAAAAGCATAAAAAGAGAAGTATAAAAAGAAAAATGTGGGATGTTTAACTTATTCAGACCTTTTTGTTCCTTTTTTCATATTTTATTTATAGCACTTTTTTAAAAAAGGGAATAAAAATAGTATGTCTTCTTTTAACTACATTAAGAACATCCAAATACTTTGATAAAGAAAAAATATTCAATTATTTGAAAAAGTTAACGAGTTATTTCCTTTCGTCTACCTATTATTCTCTCTAATGGTAAAGCTGATTTTTTTCTGTCTATGACAAATTCCAGTTTCAAGTTTGCATGCACAAAGAAAGTTGTTTTACTGCAGAACCAAGCTCAGTTAAACTACCTGACTAGAAACTCTGTTATGGAAGACCCACTAGGAAAAAAAAAACAAACCCAAAACCAAAACACGTTGGCCCTTGAACATTGATTAATTCTTGTCATTTTCATTTGTGGAGGGCTGAACATGGTTGGAGGCCAGGTGCCCACTAAAGCTGCTCTATCACTGCCCTCCTCAGCTGGGCAGGGGAGAGAAAATATAATGAAAGGTCAAAATAAGGACAGGGAGAGATCACTCAGAAATTACCATCACGGGCAAATCAGGATCTACTTAGGAAAAAATTAAATAATTTAATTTATTACCAATAAAATCAGAGTAGGATAATGAGAAAATAAAAACAAAATCTTAAAACACCTCCCCCCACCCCTCCCTTCTTCCCAGACTCAACTTCACTCCCAAATTCTCTCCCTCCTTCCCCCCAGTGGCACAGTGGGACGGGGAATGGGGGTTGTGGCCAGTTCATCACATGGTGTCTCTGCTGCTTCTTCCTCCTCGGGGGAGGACTCCTCACACTCTGCCCCTGTTCCAGCCTGGGGTCCCTCCCATGGGAGACAGTCCTCCACCAACTTCTCCAAGTCCTTCCCATGGGCTGCAGTTCTTCAGGGACTGCTCCAGTGAGGGTCCTTTCCACTGGGTGCAGACCTTCAGGAACAGGTCATATAGATTTACAATTCTTCTTCCTACCACCGATTTCCACTTTTAGAAACACCTAATAATCCCTCCCATGTTTAGTGATGCTGTACAGGCAGCCATGTAAATTAGCATTTCCTTCATCATACTGAGCAATGCATACCACAAGGAATCTGTACTTCCAGCTCACAAGCCCATGATGAGAGGTTACTGACCTCAATCTGCTGAATGGCCTCTTCCCGCTGACGAATGGCCTCCAGATCCTCTTCTGTGATTTCTGAGAGCAAGGCTTGTTCCTGGCTCTGGTTCTGCCACATGCCATCTCCTCTGTTAAAGATCTTCTCATCATCAGGTAGGTCAGAGAAGGGGGTCCTAGGGCTCTGCTGACATGGCAGAATGGAAAGAAAGCAAAGGAAGTGTAATTATTGTTCAGTTTTTCACAGCCTTCTTATGGGAAAAGAAAATAGCAATAAAATAGATCGTATAAACAGTGGTGAAAGGAGAAGAGTGAGTTACATGAGAGGAAACATATCAAGTCTTGAAGGAAGTGTTAGAACCTGAAGCCAGATCTCCTGAGCTACAATTGAGCACCAGCAAGCAGCTTCAATTTTCCAACAGTTCTGACAGAACAAAACATTTACATGCATCTGGAAAATGACACATTTACCTTGTTGATTTTCCTGCAAATTCTTCTGGAATTAGATACTTTCTCAGGCAGACATAAAGCCTATGCATTTGCCTTGAAGACTTTATGATCCAACTCACAACATTCAACATAACAAAGGATGCTATCTTGTCTATTTATGAGATAAACTAAATACAGATTAAAAAAAAAGGAAAATCATTATAGTAATGTGACTACGTAGTCATCAGTTTGAGCCACTCACAGTTTCATGGTGTTCACTCTATAGCTGACTTGATTTTGCTGACACATCAGATACCATTTTCTAGGTAGCTAGATGTTCATACTGCCTTTGGTAGCTGTGTTTGTATTCAGATCCAGATTAAGAGTCTGTTCATGAGCCAGATGTTTCTACACTGCAGGTAGGGCAGAGGTTTAACAAGGTCTTCTCCTCCCCCCAGCCTTTAGCTTCTGTGCCTATGGAGATGTTAGGTTCAGTCTAGACTGGACTCAGAGAATGAACCAATACAAGGTTGGCATGGAGAATCAGTAAGCTGAGCTCAAGTCCTAAACTAATAGGTAGAGTATTTCACTTCAAACAATGCACATGGTACTTTAAACTGGCCTTGATCTGAGCTTTGACTCCTAATCAAAAGTTACAATAAAAAAGCAATCCAAGTGCTTCCGACACTCTGAAGTTGAAAGAAGAAATGGCAGTCGCTACAGCACATTCTTGACCTGAATGTCCCTAAAGTCCCTGAAAACTACAGGAGAAAACAAGCACAGGAATTCTGGAGGATGTTCAGTTCTCTGAATCTGGACTTATCCGAAGCAAACACTGGGGATTTACAACAAGATGTGCCTGAAAAATAATGGCCTTTGCTCTCTAAGTTTTCAAAGATGTCAAATGCCCTGAACTCCCACAGAGTGGCTAGGAAGCAAGGCCATCGGGCAGCTTGCTGGAAGGGCACAGTACGACTGGAGAACTGGAAGAACTGGGAGGACTCGAGTGGAAGTTGCAGTGGAAGCAATGCCACATCACCACAGCAAGAACGAGAAGCTTAACCAAGCATGCATGAAGGAGGCAGGGGAATGAGGGGAAAAAAAAAAAAAAAAAGTCACTTAGAACGTGTTTTACTTCTTGCTTGTTTACTTAGAGATCCGCCTCTGAGGAATTGTGAAGGAGGCATAGAGAAATGGGTAATATTTAACTCTTGCAATCACATTTAGACACTAGATGGCTAGATTTTGAAGAATATCAGGCATCTGGAAACTCTTATTTAACTCTCTTTAACTCTTCTTGAATTCTTTAAAAAGTGTATAATTTCTGCATTTAGAAACTAAAGAATTTTTGCAATTGCCTAAATCTAGATGTTGCCTTATGAAATTAATTTGTTATTATCGCTATCATCTAATTGCAGATGAAGAAAATTATACAATGTGATGAAGGAAGAGGGGTGATGGAAGAAATAGAGGCATACGTAAAAATCAGCAGTAAACAGTTGTAACCGTAGGATAGGGGCCGTGAAATAGAAACTATAGAATCAGATTGAGATAATTAGTTTGTAACCAAGGTAATAGGTAATGAAGCTAGCTAACCATGGCAAGTGGCAAGGTGACCGTGGCAAGATACAATGCTGCTATGTTCCTTGTACAGTCCCTACCCAACTGGACAATAGGCCTGGGAATATTAATCTTATAAAGTAAGTTGCTATGGACAGGTACAGGTGCACCTGCACAACAAGGGTACTGCGCATGCCTGCACAAAGGGGGTCATCCAGCGGACACGGGTGCAAGACCACTGACGACCACCAGAGACCCTTGAGGACCACCGACTCAAATCACTGAGCATGCATGACAGGGAGGAGAATATGGAAATGAATTCTAAGAAATGATTATCATAGGACTGCCTTTTCTGAGAAAGATGATGAATATGTATGTTTGGATCCTACATAACCTGTGTGGTGGCGATCACCTGGCATGCACGTTGGGTGGAGCTATCCCCCGTGCATCCAGCGCTGCAATAAAGAATGCCTGCCTTTTAACACTACATTGGTGTTACGAGGTTTATTCCCGGATTTCGGTGACACAGTCAAGTACTTTTCAAAAATATAAATGGAAGATTGAAATCTTTGACATTAATATCTTTGTTTCACCTTCTGCTTCCCTGGGATCTGCTATCTACAGAGAAAGGGTGTGTTACAGGAAGGAAATAATCATTTAAAATTAGGTTAAAAATTCATTTACACTTTAAAAGACATATTTTAATAGGATTAAGATACTCTGGGGGTGTTTTATTCACTAATTATTACGTGCCTTGGACACTAACTTATCTGGTAGAGTGTTTCACTGCCAAAAACATATATTAATGGACTCACGAAAAAAACCCTTGGGGTATTCTAATGCTTCATTTATAGTGACAGAGGTGTCCTCTCATCTTCACCAGTGGGCTAACTAGGCTATGCAGAGGCAGTTATACTGCACAAGACCACGTAGACTGGAAGAGTGTGAGTGTCTGCCCTCTGAAGACACAGGAAAACAGTGATCTAATGAAATTCCTGTACTACGTCACAACACAAATGCTGTGCCACGGACCTAAATGCACATGAATGGAAGCTTAAAGCCATGCTTTCCTACATAGATATGCATTTCAATGGAAGATAATAAATTTACAAGTTTTCAAATGTTTCCTGTTCTGTTCTGATGTGGGAGCACAGGATTAACAGAGGACCCAGCAATACAGCAACCAACTAATTATATCAGTCTATGTAATACCACAGTTGTATCACAAATATGCTTGATCTTGGCCTGTGTCAACTCTGTTAGTCATCCTCACTTGTTGATCCTGGTATATGTAAATAAAACAAACCCCCCCAAATAATCCAGATAGTGCAATGCAAGTGATTCTGCTCAGTCATCTCTTACAACAGCCAGCTATTCATGTCTTTAAATAGATAATGGTCTAGACACAGATGTTTTTCTCTAAACAAAGTAGTGCCTTAAGTTAATTTCAGAGCTGCTGAAGGCAATTATGTGAGTTTGTATCCTTAACATCCTTTAAGAAAATCCAACCATGGCTGCTGAATGAGTGAGTAAATCAGGAAACGATGGGATGCAGGGGGGCTGAAATTTCCATCCAGGCATAAAAATGGCTCCATAGTAACTTCAAATATAGTCACCATGACCTGCTATCAGGATATGTATAGTGGCTGGCTGTGCTAACGAATTAAAAGTGATTTTGTGTTTGTTGATGGTACAGAGCCCCTCGTTTCTGTGATGAGGTGAACAAGCCCTAGATTTGAAAAAGTGAAGAAATCTAATGACTTTTAATACTTCTGATTGAAAACTGCACATAGGTTGTTTTGTCAGTGGTCTTCATTCACTTTTGAGTTGTGCTCATTGCTATGTCTGACAAAATATTATATTTATAGCAAGAAAAGATATGATGGAGGGCACTCACTGAGCCTCCACGGATAAAGTTCGTTTTGACAATGCCGTGCAAGGGGCCATAACTCCCCATACAAGTATTTCCACATTAAATCTGAATTAGTACCAAATTTTATGCCCTGTGAATCTCTGTGTAATTTTCTGTTGGATTTCCTTTCATAAATTGTTAATTGGATGTTTTTGAAGTTGTACTTTTGTTGAAATTTGCCTGTCACAGATTTTTGTCAGCAGGTATCTATAAACTAAACTCTGCTTGTGAAAAAAATGATAGGAGAGAAAAAGTTGAGTGTATCTGATATGCTCAGTAGTTCTTTTAAAGCTAAATTCTTAGGACTAAGGGTCATAATATGCTGTTATTCATCATATGTGAAAAATTATGCCCAGGCACAATATCTTTTCTGCTGGATAAAATCATTTCACTACGATAAAATCGTTGCTGCTTACAACTACATTTTTTTATCAGATTTATTCTACGAATGGGGAGATGTTACATGCAGCTGCTGATAGAAAAAAAAAAAAGGAATAATAAAAAAAAAAAGGTTTTATCTGGATGGTGACAATTTCCACCAGTATCTGTACTTTATCAGCAGTAAAATCTGTGCATCAGAAGCTGCATGTCTGAGACCCCTCCGAAGATGACCCCCTCCCAGCCCTCACTCCCCATTTGTATATTAGAAAGGTCAGAAGAGGAGCGTTAACCACACAATTTCTTCTCCTTGTACACAGCAATATCACAAATTTTCCAACCCACATCACATAAAATCACCAAGCAAGGGACTGAAATGACCTCTCCTCTAGTTCTCACATGGCCTTCATTCCACCCAGAAGCAGAAATCTAACATGAACTCCAACTAATATAAAACCAACCAGCCTTGACGGTTCACTTCAGAGAGTTAGGGAATCTCCTGTAGCAGTAAGATGTGTGCTGGTACCACCTCAGTCTTATAGCTCCTTTTTACATCTCTAACTTTAATGATGCCATTTCTGATTGCTCATTACAAGATTGTTCCCTTATCAGAAATTAAGGACATGAAATGTTGACTGGAGATGGATGAGAAATGGCTCTTACCACCAGTGAAATGTTCAGTGATTTCAAAGGAAAAATTATTTTCCACACTTCATCAAAACGCGAAGATACAGAGAAAAATTGTAAGACAGAGAGGGAGACATACCCTCTGTCCAGCTCCGGTTAGCCAGAAATCTAATAATTAAGGTGCCCAATGTCAGCTGCAGTGAGACGGTCCTCTCACAGTCTCTCCAAAAAGAATTGTAGAAGTTGATGTAAATAATTTACATTTATTGGAGCTGGATTTA